CCTTAAAATGCGGTCTTTAAGGCTGCAGACCCTGAATTGGGATACAGCCTGTGTCTGCCTCTGTTCCTCGTCTGTATCCTCTGTGATCTCCGTGTCCATCGCCTGGAAACTCTTTGTGAACCTACTGTGTGCTCTCCCTGTCGTCCTCCCCCCGTGTTCAGGTTTGTTGTTCTATAGTTTAGTTTATCCTTAGTTCTGTTTTTCCATCCCCACTTTGTGTTCTGCATTTACAATAAACCTGCCTTTGAGTCCTCTTTTCCACTTATCACACGGCTTTTGCCCCAGTCGTGACAGACCACTACTCATGCCAGGGCCTTCATCTGGGTGGGAACTTTCTCCAGGCCCCAGATCGGATTGACTACTTTCTTTTCAAATATTTATCTATTGCTATTATGCAATGCGTCGTCTCACACCATGACTATTAATTAACCATTAATTAATGTAATTTCTTCTTTGTCTTCTTCTGTTTTACTGGCAGTTGGCAACCCCTTTAGAGCAGGTAGTTGTACTGCCCTCTGGTGGAAAAGGATATAATTGTTCTGCCCATTACTCTGCCAATCGCTCAGAGAACCAATCAGGTGGAACCAGATAATCTCCCAAGGCACACCTGACCATTTCTCATGACACACCTATGTACCACGACACGGTGGTTGGGAAATACTTGTTTAACCGCTCTACATCCACCAGGTCACCAGCATCACATCTCTGACGAGGGCTGAGTTTTGTTTTAGCATGGAATCTGTTTTCCTGATAATCAGCATTTTGTCAGTGACCTTGTGACCTCACATTATAGCTGAGATCAAAATGCAGTGATGTGGAGTCTCACCTTACAATGCTACAATTGAAACCTTTAAATACTTAAAAATAGAGCTGTTATTGTTCTGCCAATAAATACAGCTCTACAAATACAAAATATACATTTCTGTTCTAGCGCCCCCTACAGTCTCTGGTTGTGCCCCTTAACTCAACATTGTGTAAACACAACAGGTCAGTACACGCAGCAGCTTAAAAAAAAAACAGACCAGGTTTGCAGTTTTTGTAGTTTTTATTTTTATTTTTTTTAGAGTTGTTTCAAAAAAATCCAAAATGACTGAGAAACAGATAAATTATGGCTCTGATACAGCGGGGAGCAAAGACTTCATTTGACCTTCATTTGGACTGTACCAAGTCTGAACCCGCCCCTCTGAACTGCTGCGAGGACAGAGTCACCTCCTACAGTAAAATTAGGAATATTACCAAAGTACGTCATAGTAATGACCTCACAGATGAGTACCAATCGATCAATCAAGGCTTTATTCGCCACATGCAGGACCACCAACCAGAAAAACATTAAAAAAGGTAATAAAACATTTTACTGAGATTTAAAGGATCACTTAAAGCACATATTCTGTGTTTGTACACCTGCAGACAGCACAGGTAGAGACGTTTAACATTTTCTGTTTTACTGGAGTTAAAGTGGACCTATTATGCATATCCTCATTTTACTTACTCTGTACACAGTTTTTAGCTCGTACTAAATCTCTCCTCCGATTCATTTAGGTAGCAGCTTCAAAATAAGCTTTTGTTCCTTTTATTTATTGATTTTCATTCTGTTATTTCCTGTATTGTTTTATTTCAGTTTAAAGCTCAGGACTGTTTTAAACACTCAGTTTCAGACAGTATTTCTTTTTTTTACTCTTGGCTCTGGATGACATCATAGAGAGTGGATGTTCCTAATATGGTTGTCTCAGACACAAAAGACATTTTTTCCTTCTGTGAGAGGCAGAGGAAAGTTAGCTCAAAGGGAGGGTGACCTCTAAAGGTACTAGGTGTAAAAACCCTAAAAAAAATTAACAAAAACTTTCACCACAAGGTGGCAGCATTTTCCAAACTCATTTTAGTATGGGTGTGAATCCCCAACAGCCAACTTTTAACTAATCTAATGTTTCTATACCTGTTCTCTTTTAGTTGGTAGACATAAATATGACAATAACATGGATTTTGAACAAATGCTGAGCTAAAAGCAGCTTGGATTAGATTTAAATGTTTCATGCTGCACCATCTTGTGGTTCAAAGTGGTATTGCATAAGCCTGCAGCACGGCCCTATTTAACCTTAAATTGATATCACTGCAGCACAATACACACCTGTCCTT